ATGAAGCTAGAATATTCATTAAACTAAAGAGCATAATCAAATATTTATAGTATTTATAGCGCATTCTGAAAGCAGTTTTCCATTCTTCTTCTTTCTTTATTCTAATTAGATTATAAGCTCTTTTCAGATTTAGAACTGTAAATCATTATACTTTTTGCAATCTATTTCGTAGTTCTTTAATAAATAGCAATAGATATCAGTTTTTGATTATAATATTATTGAATTGCTTATAATTAATATATAGCTTAAGTTTGCTATTTTTCTTAGATATAAATAGAATAAGATATTCTGCTAATAATTGCAATAATTATATATATTCTTTCTTAAGATTCTTATCAAGATACTTCCTAAGTACTTCTAGCTATATCTTGTTTAGTTTATAAATAAGAAAGAATTTAAGCTGTTTCTCTTCTTATAGCAAGATTTCGTAGTTGTATAAGCTATATTCTAGCAATCTCGTATTCAATTCTTTCTGAAACAGTTTCTTGAATTTGTAATACTCTCGTAGTATATTTGCAAGTATTAGTTCTAGTTTCTATACTGTTTCTGCTATCTGAAGAAATAGTAAATACTGTTAAGTATGCTTCTTTTCTGATAGCATTTTCGAAAGCCTTAAGCATTTGCTCTGGGCTGAACCGAGTGCTCGAGAGCCTGGTTTCGAGATTTTTCCTATATAAGTTTACAATCTATATTCTGAAGCTTTTCCTTATTGCTCCGGAGCGAACTAACTTGCTAAGAATCTCGCTTCTGTTATTTTGCTAATCTATTAACACCTTAGCATTATTTGAGTTTGCTTATTACTAGATTCTTCTTCTTAAACTGCTAGCTCTGCTGACTTGGAGATATATGGGAAGTTGTATAAAGCTTCTTTTCCTGAATATTCTTCAATTACTAGCTTTGATTCTGCGTTGTTGATTGTAACTATCTCTCTGAGTATAGCTTATTCTCATAAGATCTGGCTAGTAGTTCAATTAATTCGAGGATTGTATTCTTTAAGCTATAAAAGCTTTATAATCAGCTTATGCTATACTATATTTATAATATTAAAAGAAGCTCTAGTTATGCATTCTTGGATTAAGATAGATAAATGATTAGTCTTCTTATTAATTACTTCTTGATTATATGCAATAGATTATTCTTCTATAGTACTGAGAGTATATAAGCGCTTTTTTTATTTCCATTGTAGTTATGCTTGATTGATAATATATGGGAATATGAAGTTTCTCTAAGCGCTATTATCTAATAGTATGCAGTATTTGTATTCTTGAATATATATATTAAACTTAATATAAGCATAATTTATTCTAGAAGCTTTATATAGAAACTGTTCTAATCTGATCATCTGCAGTTCCTTTACAAGCAATTCTGTTCTTTTGAATTTGTTAAGAACTGCTTATTCTTCTAAGCCTACTTCGCTGCTTCTTAAGCAAGCTTTTTAGCTTGCTTTTGCTTGTATCATTATTATTTCTAATCTTTCTTCTATTAATACTAATTGCAAACTTTATTGCTAATATGAATTATACAGAATATCATCTTATACTATTATCATTTTATCTTCTTATTTATATATTGCATAGAATAGTTATCTAATAGCTTAATATATATATTATAGTGCTATTTATTAAGAATTTCTCTGAAGCGAAGTTCTGATTTTTCAACAGCTTAAAGAATTTGTTCTAATTCTCTAACAAGAAACTATTCATATTGCACTTTGTCTGAAAAATGCATTCTGCAGCTATAATAAGTGCAGAAGATTCAAGCTAATTTGTAGTATAGATTGTGAAGTAAGCTAATTCAAGGATTCTTATCTTCTTATATTTCGATATTCTGCAAGGAAATGCAGATAAAGAGCTTCTCTAGTTCTATCTCATAAATAAGATATTTAATCTATATTATTTCCTTATTTCATTCAATACTAAAGGGAAACTTTTCTATAAATCTCTTGAGTTCATTATTCATAGGAGATTCTGATAAACTATTGAATTGCTCATTCTAGCTTGATCTTTCTATTGCTTAAGAAGCGTTTTCAGTATTATTTAGATACTCATATTAATAATTAAGAGGATACTATTCCTTATTCATATCTCTAATTATAGTACTTAGCATAGATAATGAGAAATAATAAAGAGTATTATTGCTAAGCTCTTCTTTTAATACCTGAATACTCTATTCTACAATATTAGAGCAATCCGAATTGCTACTTATAAGAATGCTAGATATACATTCTCATTCTGCTATTGCTATTTATTTGCAGCGCTTAGATTTCTGAGGAAACTATTCTGAATTTTTCTTACTTAAGAAGTATGTTAAGCAGTTGTTATTGTAGCAGAATGTTCAGCTGAGACTTCCATAATCAATAGAATCCAATACTTGCTTCAAGGGAGTGTTTTTGCTTAGTTGATTGGATTTCTATTATTAAGCAATATTTATTTAATATTCTTTCTAAACTAATTGCTATTTGTTCTTTCAGAGTTAATAATAGTTGCATGTAATATATTCTTATTTGTTGCAATTATAGCAAGTAATGCTATTCTTTTTGCTATATTGCTTATTAGCAATATCGAGTTCTATGAAATTAGCATGTATAGTACTGCTTTAAGCTATACTGCTATATCAACTGCTATTCTTATTTTGGAATTTCTTACTTATATTAGCTGAAAATCTTCAAATCTAGCTTCTTTCCTTCTTAAACTTCTTTATTTATTATTTATATAAATAGTTATTAATGCAGATAGCTTGATTAGAAAATATTGCAAAGTTCTCTAATCAATTCTGCTTAAAGATTTTATTTTTAATATTATTCTTAAATCCCTTATAATAATGCTTTATAAGATTCTTATCTTTCTATAAAAGTTGTACTAAGAATTGCTTAAATCTAATTATATAAGCAAAAGCTAACTTAGTCTGCTTGAGATTTATAAGCTGCTAAGCTGTAATATATTTCTTATTGAAATTATTAAAGATTTTCTTAAAAGCTTTCTTAAAGCTTTCAAAAGAATTGAATATATCCTTAGTACTCTGAATATATGTACCGGAATTGTTCTAATGCTCTAAGTAATTATATAGAGAAAGCTTATATTAGATGAGAATATTCTTTTCGAAACGAGTTTCTGCAAGAATAACTTTCTCAGATTCCTTAGTGAACTAAGTCTTGTAGTACAGGAAATATGCTCTGCAGTAGATAAAGAATCCATGTAGCATCTTTTGATTGCTATTATATATAGCGAGCTTATTCATCTTATATGCTTTTCCAGCGCTATTGATAATTGCAGAAATAGACTGCGCTTGCTAAGCTTATTAAGCTAGCTAAGCTTATTAGTTAGCAATAATAATGCTCTAAGCTTGCTATTATTCGTACAGATTCTGAATATGCTGAATGAGCTAATATACCTGATTAATCAGTTCTTTCTGAATAGAAGCGCATAAGAACAAAGAGATTCCTAAAGAAGCTATTATATTCCGTATTGCTTAAGAGAATAATACTAAATCATTCTTGAACAAGAATTATCAAAATATAATAAGCATTGCAGTAATCCAAAAATTTCTAAGTATATAAAGAGATTTATATTAACAAAAGCAGTATTAAAGTATTAAATTCTTGAATACAGAACTATACAAGTTCTAATAAGCAATGCAAGTATTTACTGCTTTTGGAGCTACTCAGTATATGAAACTGAATACTTAGATTGATAACTGAAGAGCTATATACTGGATTCATTTAATAGTAATAAGCGTATTCTTATATATTCAGTTCTTCAGTTTTAACTAATCTGATTATATTATGATTTCTTATAGTTATTTCTCCGAATATGTTGACTATGTTTATAGCTAATATAGTTGCGCTAGCAATTCTAATCCGGGTTATATAATTCTGATTGATATCCAATGTTAGATTGTAATATCTGGTTCCTTGGTTAGTAGGGCTTATCCTGTGATCTGCATATTGGATGAGTCATAACATCAATGCATACAGAGAACTGAATGCTGCTTTCAGAATTAAATCCTTGGAAAAGAATCCAGTATTAATAATCTCAGATGAATAAAACAATTATATTAAGAATATATATAGTATATTAGCATATGAATATTAGGAAATTAGAGCAATTTATAAATGCATTAAAATATACTGAAATCTATCAGACTTTAGAAAAAGAATTAAGAACATTCTATAATAATGCAATAGCTGTAAGAAGAATAAAGCAGAAAGATATAAATCTTATAGATTACTATATTTCTTACTAATACTTATAACTGTTTAGCAATTCATTAGTCTAAACTTTATTATTAAGCTATTTCTTTTATAAGAATTCTTAACTAAGATATAATATAATAGCATTCTAGTAGTAGTTTGCAGATTAAGCAAGTATGCTTATTTTCTCTTTTATAAGAAAAGCAGTATAGCAGAAGAACTTGCATATACATTCCTCAGAATAATTATTGCTAATTATAGCATATTAGAAAAAGTAATCTCTAATAGAAATAGAAAGTTTAACTTAAAGTTTTGAATTTTACTTATAAAATAGCTTGGAATATACTACAGAATATCTATAGCATTTCATCTGCAAATAGATGAATAAATAGAAAGAATGAATCAAATTATTAAATAATATTTTCAATACTATATTAATTAGAAATAGAATAACTGAATTAATTTATTATTCCTTATATAGTTCGCTTATAATAATATAAATATAAGTATAATAAAGAAATCATTATTCTTCATATTCTATAAATACAATTCAACAGCTTACTACAAAGTATTGCTAGAAGCAGATATAGAAGCTGCAGATAAAAGAGTTAAGAAGATCAGAAAAGTTTAGAAAGAACTCCAATTAGAATTATAATTTATTCAAGAATGAATAATATAATATACAAACTCTAAAAGAATTAAGAAACTAATTCTATAGAAAGGAAATAAGATTTATCTATTTCGAAAAAATATTAAAATAATCAGATTTAGTAACAAACTTGATTACAAGAAGTTAAAACTATTCAAAATCTTGCAACAGATTTCTCTAGTTAATTATAAGTTAGTATTATCTTATAAAATAAGAATATACTCAGTTTTTCATATCTTACTGCTAGAATTAGTAATATAGAAAATATTTATAAATAATATAGTAGAAGTAGAAAATAATAAATCAAAATACAAGATAGAAAAAATTCTTAAGTATAAAGATACAAATAATACAAGAGAATATCTTATCAAGTAGAAAGATTATTCAGCAAGCGAAAATTCATAGAAATCACAGAAGAATATTAAGAATGCTTAAGAAAGAATAGCTAAGTATTAGAAAAGAAAGAAAACTAGTATCTAAGATAATCACTTCATTCCAAACTAAAACTTAGAAGCTTCAAGAATCTCACTCTCCAGAAAGCTCAACTAATCTACTACAGAACCTTTCAAATTCACAGAATTCCAATCGAAACTTTTAAAAGAAGAATCTCTAGCTATAACAGCAGATTCCTCTGCTACTACAGCCTGCACTTCAACAGCAATATGCACCTTCTCAGCCTTAATCTCCTCAGCTTTCATACAATCCAATTCCTTTATATAAATAATACTACAATATAAAGCACATTTCATCTTCTCAAACTATATCCGCTTTTATTAGCATAAACAGAGAAGCTTAGTCTTTCTCTTCTCAATCTCATTCTCCAACTTTCAATATTAAGTAGCAATATTGCAAAGCTTCTTGAAGAAAGAGCTTATAATATTGCACTTAAAGCAGCTCAATCAAATGCATTTAATACAATAAGAAGAATTTCCGGAAAATATCTTGCAGAATCCAAAGCTATAATCCTTGCAATAGAAACAGATAAGCATCTTAATAAAATTTTCCAAGAAGCAGGAAATCAAGAGATCTTGATCTTAAATACTCTTTGGAACAGAAGAAGATTTGCAAATATAGGATTTGTTGATTCTGTTTAATATTTCAATCAGGAAAACAAGATTATATATATGAAGAACTTGCTAGAATACTTATAAAAGATTGTTAAGAATAATAACTAATAGAAGAGAAATAATGTTATAATTTATTCAATATACAGATTATAGAATAAGCTTTATTAATTAAGAAATCAGATATTACAATCCAATATTGGATATTAATCAGAATTATATAATCCGAATTAGAATTGCTAGCGCAACTATATTAGCTATAGATATAGTTAATATATTCGGAAAAATAATTATAAGAAATTATAATATAATCAGATTAGTTAGAACTGAAGAGCTAAATATATAAGAATATATTCATTACTATTAAATGGATTTAGTATATAGCTTTTCAGTTATTAATCTAAGTATTCGATCTTATATACTGAGTAGCCCCAAAGGCAGTGAATACTTGCATTGCTTATTAGAACTTGTATAGTTCTGTATTCAAGAACTTAACACTTTAATACCGCTCTTGTTAGTATAAACCCTTTGTATACTTAGGAATCTTCGGATTGCTGCAGTGCTCATTACAATAATGCAGAATCGAAGCTAGTTATTAAAGAATATTCAGGAAAAGAAGCTTTAGACAACTTCAAATCTATCTTCAAACCAGCAGAGCTAGCAGTTTAAGGAGAAGAATCTAGTAATAAGCAAACTCAAATAGTGCTAGAGCGCCAACAGGTTAACAAAACAACGGAAGCGAAGCTCTCAGCAGATCGGTCCGCTCCGAAGCAACAAGGAAAAGCTTCGAAATCAGGCTCTCGAGCGATCGGTTCAGCTCAGAGCGAACGCTTAAAGCCCTCGAAAACGCTAACAGAGAAGAAGCATGCTCAACAATACCTACTATTCCTTCAGATAGCAGAAACAGCATATAAACTAGAACCAATACTTGCAAGCATACTATAAAAATATCACAAGTTCAAGAAATTATTTTAAAAAGAACTGAATACAGGATTATCAGAATACAGCTCATACAATCACGAAATCCTATTATAAGAAGAAAAATAGCTTAAGTTCTTTTCTATCTATAAACTAAACAAAATACAGCTAGAAGCACTTAAGGAATATCTTAATAAAAATCTTAAAAAGAAATATATATAATTATTGCAATTACTAGCAGAATATCTTATTCTATTTATACTAAAGAAGAATAGCAAGCTCAAGCTATATATTAATTATAAGCAATTTAATAATATTATAATTAAGAACTAATATTTATTACTACTCATTAAGAAGCTATAAGATAGATTGCAAGAAGTATAGTAGTTTATAATTCTAAATCTGAAAGAAGCTTATAATCTGATTAGAGTAAAGAAAGAAAAGAAATGGAAAACTGCTTTCAGAATATACTACAAATACTATAAATACTTGATTATACTTTTCAGTTTAACGAATGCTTCAGCTTTATTCCAGGAAATAATTAATCATATTCTATACAAGCATCTGAACTAATTCATTATTATATATTTTAATAATATTCTTATTTACTCTTAAATACTAGAAGAATACAAAAAGTATATAAAAACAGTATTGTAAACATTCCAAGATGCAAAACTTCTTATAAAGCTTACAAAGAGCTATTTTTATATACAAAAAGTTAATTATCTTGGATTTATAATCAAACCAGAATACATTAAGCTACAGAAAGATAAGATAAAAGCTATTAAAAATTAGCTAATTCCCAGGAATATCAGAAATATTAAATCTTTTCTCGAATATATTAACTTCTATAAGCAGTTCATTAAGAATTACAGCTAGATTATACATCTTCTTATAAATCTTACTAAAAAGAATCAACTCTTTGAATAAACTTCCAAAGCATAAGAAGCTTTCAATAAGATTATCAAGTATATTATCTCAGAGCTAATTCTGTATAAAGCAAACTTCTATAAACTCTTTGAAATTGAAACTGATGCATCAGAATATATACTCAGAGAATAACTTAATTAGCAAGACAATTAAGAGTGCTTAAGAATTATAAGCAACTTCTCAAGAAAGTTAAATAGCTTAGAAATCAACTATGGAATCTCTGATTAGAAGCTTATAGCAATAATAAAAGTCTTCGAAAAGTAGCAATACTATCTTATCAGCATACAGTACTCAATTATAGTTCATTCGGATTACAAGAATCTAACTATATTCATAATAATTAAAGTTTTGAATAAGCAACAAGTTAAATGAGCAGAATTCCTCTTACAATTTAACTTCAAGATTATATACTGCAAAAGCTTAGAGAATAAATAAGCAGATGCTTTTAGCAGAAGATCGAACTATTAAAGCATAGATTCCTCAGATATATAGAACATCTTTGCTCAAGATAAATTGGAAAATCTTATTAATATATATAGAAAGCTAAATGCTATTTTTAGAATTAAATCTTTGAAAAAGAATTTAGAATTAATAACTTCAGACAAATAAAATAATTATATTAAGAATATATATAATATACTAGTATATAAGCATCAGAGAATTAGAGTAATCTATAAATACATTAAAAGATATTAGAATCTATTAAGCTTTAGAAAAAAGATTAAGAATATTCTATAACAATACAACAGCTATAAAAAGAATAAAGCAGAAAAATACAAGCTTTATAAACTACTATACTTCTTATCAATACTTATAACTATTTAGCAATTCATTAATCTAAACTTTATTATTAAGCTATCTCTTTTATAAAAACTCTTAACTAAGATATAATATAATAGCATTCTAGTAATAGTTTGCAAACTGAGCAAATATGCTTACTTTCTTCTCTATAAGAAAAGCAATACAGCAAAGAAACTTGCATATACATTTCTCAGAATGATTATTGCTAATCATAGCATGCTAGAAGAAGTAATCTCTAATAGAGATAGAAAGTTCAACTTAAAGTTTTGAACTTCGCTTATAAAATAGCTTGGAATATACTATAGAATATTTATAATATTCCATCTGCAAACAGATGAATAAATGGAAAGAATAAATTAAGTTATTAAATAATACTTTTAATACTATATTAACTAGAAATAGAATAATTAGATTAATCTATTACTTCTTATACAGTTTGCTTATAATAGCGCAGATATAAGTATAATAAAGAAATTATTATTCTTTATACTTTACAAATATAATCTAATAGCTTATTATAAAGTACTGCTAAAAGCAGATGCAGAAGCTATAGATAAAAGAATTAAGAAGATTAAGAGAATTCAGAAGAAATTCTGATTAGAACTATAATTTGTTCAGAAACGAATAATATAATATGCAAATTTAAAAAGAATTGAAGAACTAACTCTACAGAAGGGAAATAAGATCTATCTACTTCGAAAAAACATCAAAATAATCAGATCTAGCAATAAACTTAATTATAAGAAGTTAGAACTATTCAAAATCTTGCAATAGATTTCCTCAGTTAATTATAAGTTAGCATTATCTTATAGAATAAAAATATATCCGGTTTTCCATATCTTACTGCTAGAACTAGCAATATAGGAAATATTAGCAGATAATATAGCAGAAGTGAAAAATAACGAACTAGAGTATAAGATAGAAAAAATCCTTAAGCATAGAAATACAAACAGCACAAGAAAATATCTTATCAAATGAAAAGATTACTCAGCAAGCGAAAATTCATAAAAGCTACAAAAGAACATTAAAAACGCTCAGGAAAGAGTAGCTGAGTATTGGAAAAGGAAGGAAACCAGCATCTAGAACGATTGCTCCACTCCGAATCGAAACCCAGAAACTTCAGAAATCTTACTCTTTAGGAAACTCGATCAGTCTACTACTGCATTCCCTACATTCACAGAATTTCAGTTAAAACCCTCGAAGAAAGAATCTTCAGCAGCTACAGCTAACTCCTTAAGCACAGCCTCCTGCACAGCGATAACAGCGCAGCAACATTCCTCTTCAGCCTCCTCCGCCTCGATGCAATCCAGCTCTTCCACATTGTTAATGCTGCAGCGGACAGCGCGCATCATCTTTTCAAACCACATCCTTTTCTGCTTATGCAACCGAAGAACCTTTTCCTTAGCAGCCTGCAACTTATCCTTCAGCTCTTGATGCTAGATAGCAATCTTGTACAGTTCTGAGGGATTAACGCTCTGAACATTGCATTGGGAATAATTGAGCTGAATGCATTCAGCGTAATAGAAAGAATCGAGAGAAGAAATCTAATAGGAAAGAATGCCCCAATCCTTATAGAAAGAATAGGAAGGCATAATAAAAGGATTTTAAAGAATAGCGGAAAGGAGACTTTTACATTTCTCAGTTTTTCGAGAATGAAGCTTGAAGATATAAGATTTGTTAATTCTGTTCAACATCTCAATTAGGAAAGCAAGATCATGCATACAGAAAACTTGCTAGAATACTTACAGAAGATTATTGAGAACAACAACTAATAGAAGGGAGATGATATTATAACCCATCCAACATACAGATTACGAAACAGATTACAAGTAATAAGAACCAGATATCAAGAATCCAACGTTCTAACTAAACATTGATTATACAACTCAGGATTAGAGTTATAACAGGGATGGATTACTGAATTATTAGATAATTCAGTAAGCCTGAATCATCTGAATCAGTAGTAAGCTAAGGTGAGCTATACTGAAGAGCCGGATATATAAGAATATATTCATTATTATTAGATAGATACAGTATATAGCTCTTTAGTTGTTAATCTAAGTATCAGATTACTCTCTACTCTGATAGCTCCAAAGGCAGTGAATACTTGCATCGCTTATTGAGAACTTATACGGTTCCGTATTCAAGGACTTAACACTTTGATACCGCTCTTGTTAGCATAAACCCTCTTTGTGTACTTTGGAATCTTCGGATTGCTGCAGTGCTCATTACACTACTGCTGCTAGGAATTCTTCTTTTGAAAGGTTTGATTGAAATTCTGTAGATATAAGGAATTTTGTAATAAACTGGTCTAGTTTTCTGAAAAGCAAGATTTCTAAAGCTTTTAGATTTCGGTCTAAAGCAGAATAATCGTTCTAAATGCTAGTTTTTTTCCTTTTTTAATACTCAGCTATCTTTTTCTAAGCATTTTCAACATTTTCCTATAGTTTTTATGAATTCTTGCTTGCTGAATATTCTTTTTACTTAATAAGATATTCTTGCATATTATTTATATCTTTATACTTGAGAATTCTTTCAATCTCATACTCTAGTTTATTACTTTCTATTTCTGCTGTATTATTTATTAGCATTTTCTATGCTGCTAATTCTAGCAATAAGATATAAAATATTAGATATATTCTCATTCTATAAGATAATACTAATTCATAATTAATTAGAGAAATCTGTTGCAAGATTTTGAATAATTCTAACTTCTTATAATTAAGTTTATTATTAGATCTAGTTATTTTAATATTTTTTCGAAATAAATAAGCTTTATCTTTCTTTTATAGAATTAATTTCTTAATTCTTTTAGAGTTTGTATACTGTATTATTCGTTCTTGAATGAATTATAGTTCTAATTAGAATTCTTTCTAAACTTTTCTGATTTTCTTAATTCTCTTATCTGCAGCTTCTGTATCTACTTCTAGCAATACTTTATAGTAAGCTATTGAATTATATCTATAGAGTATAAAGAATAGTAATGTCAGGGTAAAAAGGGCACACAAGTGAGGTGAAGGGGTGTGAGCTGCTCCCAAGCTGCTCTGTTAACGCTTCCATTCAAAGGGACTACTGAACCTATCTCCCTCCTCCTCTTTTTCGCTGCTAGATCTGTTATTCCCCTTTCTCTTATATATACAATTAGCCTAGACTAGATGAGATAACAATAGCCTGATAGCTATGCAGCATTATACGAGAGCGCTGCTTCAGAGCAAAGCTCTTGCAGCAGCTCTGAACTGCTATCAGAGATCGCAAGAGCTACCTATTTCCTTTATACGCATACAAGCCCTAACAGAATCCTCCCTCTTCCAGATTCCTATCCCCAGAAACTACACGCCCGAGCTGCTCTTGCACAAATCCACAGATCCCTTCATACTTATCAATAGTTCTCTCATCAGTTAGTCCTTATTATTGAAATGTCTCGCTCTAGAGAGCCAAGTTTCCCTCTGCCAGTAAGTTATATGATATTATGAAGGTTGCCCTAGCGCTAGCGCAGTGCAGATGCAGCATGATTACGAAGATTGCGCAGCTTAGCGCAGTTATTTATGCTATTGCAATCTCGGAATAGCTTCTAAAGCTAGATAATAGGATTGCTTAGAATGCATGCACTAGTAAAGCATTATTATTCCTTATTTCGCTCTCATGCTTAAGATCTAGAGCTATAAATTATTATACTTCTTACAATCTATCTTATAATTTCTTAATAAATAGTAATAGATATTAATTCTTAATTATAATATTATTAAGTTATTTATAATTAATATATAGCTTAAGCTTGCTATTCTTTTTAAATATAAATAAGATAGAATATTCTATTAATAATTGCAATAATTATATATATTTCTTTTTAAGATTCTTATTAAGATATTTCTTAAATATTTCGAGTTATATTTTATTTAATTTATAAATAAGGAAAAACTTAAGCTATTTTTCTTCTTATAATAAGATCTTATAATTATATAAGCTATATTCTAATAATTCTATATTTAATTCTTCTTAGAATAATTTCTTAAATTTATAATATTCTTATAATATATCTGATTCTGATTCATATTCTGTTTCTGCTATTTGGAGGAATAATAAGTACTATTAAGCATGCTTCTTTTTGCTAGTTATTAGTAGCGCTTTCAGAAGCTTTAAGTAGTTACTTTAAGCTAAACTGAATGTTTAAAAGCTTAGTTTCAAGATTTTCTTGTAAACTTGCAATTCACATTCTGAAGCTTTTCCTTATTGCTTCAGAGCAAATCAACTTGCTGAGGATCTCGCTTCTATTATTATGCTAATCTGTTAGTATTCTAATACTATTTGGATTCGCTTAGTACTAGATTCTTCTTCTTGAACTGCTAGCTCTGCTAATCTGAAGATATATATGAATTCATTTGAAGCTTTTTTCCTCGAATATTCTTCAATAACTGAATTCCATTCTATACTATTAATTGCAACTATCTTTCTGGATATAGCTTGTTCTTATGAGATCTAGCTAATAGTTTAATTAATTTGAGAATTATACTTCTTAAGCTATGAAAGCTTTATAATCAACTTATGCTATATTATATCTGTAATATCAAAGGAAACTCTGATTATATATTCTTAAATTAAAATAAATAGATAATCAGTCTTGATATTGATTATATCTTGGTTGTATGCAATAAGTTGTTCTTTTATAATACTGAGAATATATAATTACTTCTTTTATTTTTATTGTAGTTATACTTAATTAATAATATATAGAAATATAAAGTTTCTTTAAGCGCTACTATCTAATAGTATGCTATACTTATATTTATAAATATATATATTGAGTTTAATATAAGTATAGTTTGCTTTAGAAGCTTTATATAGAAACTGTTTCGATCTGATTATCTGCAGTCTCTTTATAAGCAATTCTAGCTTTTTGAAATCTTTGAGAATTGCTTATTCTCCTTTTATACTTGCATAGCTGCTTCTTAAGCAAGCTTTTTAGCTTGCTTCTGCTCATATTATTATTATCTCTGATCATCTTTCTATCAATACTAGTTGCAAATCTTATTATTGATATAAATTATACAGAGCATTATCTTGCATTACTACTATTCTACTTTCTTATTTATATATTATCTAGAGCAGTTGTTTAGTAGTTCGATATATATATTATTATATTATCTATTAAGAACTTTCCTAAAGCAAAGCTTTTCTGCTTTAATAGCTTAAAGGATTTATTCTGATTCTCTGATAAGAAATCATTTATATTATACTTTCTTCAAGAAATATGCTCTATAACTGTAATAAGTACAGAAGATCCATGCTAGCTTATAATATAAGCTATAAAATAAGCTAATTCGAGAATTCTTATTCTATTGCATTTCGATGTTTTGCAAGAAAATGCAGATAAAGAGCTCTTCTAATTCTATCCTATAAATAAGATACTCAATCTATATTATCTTCTTATTCTATCTGATGCTAAAGGAAAATCTTTCTTTTCAAACTTCTATAGAGCTATTAAATTTGCTATCTATAAAAGACTCTGATAGATTGCTAGATTATTTGCTCTAGCTTGATTCTTTTATTATCTGAGAAATATTTTCAATATTATCTAGATATTTATATTAATAGCTAAAAGAATATCATTTCTTATTCATATCTCTAGTTATAATACTTAGCATTAGTAATAAGAAATAATAAAGAATATTATTGCTAAGTTCTATTTTCAGCATTTAAATACTTTGTTTAATAATATTAGAATAATTTGAATTATTATTATTTGCAGTTGTATTAAGCATATGCTCTTATTCTTCTATTGCTATCTGCTTGCAGTATTTAGATTTTTGAGAAAACTATTCTAAGCTTTTCTTATTTGAGAGATATATTAAGCAATTGTTATTATAGCAGAATATTCAGCTAAGACTTTTATAATTGATAGGATTTAATACTTGCTCCAAGAGAATGTTTTTACTTAGTTGATTGGGTTTTTGTTGTTAAGCAATATTTATTTAGCATTCTTTCTGAACAGATTGCTATTTGCTTTTCCTGGATTGATAGCAATTATATAAGATATGCCTTTGTTTATTGCAGTTATAATAAGTAATATTATTCTTCTTGCTATACTGCTTATTAGCAGTGTTGAGCTTTATGAGATTAGCATGCTGTTATGGTAGCTAGGGTGGTAGTCCGTGGAACATGAAGTATAGTGAGTTAAAGGATTCTCATATATATAAAGGATATCATCCACTTTTCAAATTCTTTAGCTATAAGCAACAATCAAGCATTCTTTTCTCTTCTTTTCAATTTTGAATTCTTTGGACAGATTTAAGACAGGTTTTTCACTCTATTCTTGTGCTCGTATAGCCTTAGTTTGCTATCCTCATCTGTATAAGCATGCTTGGATTGCACAAGCCCTTGCTCATTGCTTTAGCAGCTGTTTATCCCTTTTTCTTTCGAGAGCAACAGCGCCCTAGTT